AATAAACAGGTTGTATCAAATTTTCACCACCCCAATTATTTTATTCTAGTTTCGGAAAATTCTAAATTTTGGGTTATTTGACTTTCGATGATAGTTCTGCCTTTGTTATGTCATTTAGACATTTTTGCACGCAATTTTGAATAAATATTCAGAGGGGATTGAATACTAAGTCAGTTTCTGTTTACGATTCATTTATTAATAAGTTGGCTGTTAGTATCGCAACCAATAGACTATGATTAAACACTATGTGTAAGGTACTGTATAGGTCGCATGTAACTTAAAATATTTTTGTCTCTTTCTTTCTCACTAATTGTAGTATATAGTCAGATGGATGGGTATGCGCTAAAGTTATTAAAAAATAATTATTACACATACTCGTAAATGCATGTTTTCTGCGAACGTCACCAGATTAGGGCAAGGACATATGTTCAGTAAAACAACAACAACTAATCTATGGAGTTCTCCTCACAGAAGCGGAAAACTACACTTTCACCGCCTTTTTTTGCAATTCAAGCGGCAAAAACACAAGCCATTTATTAACAAGTAAAATTATCGATTTTTGAACCACAACCCTGACTGCCCTCACTAAATGCGCCCTTGCACTTCAGAAGGGTGAAGCTGAATTATTGTTTAGAGGGGGGCTTTTAAAGCGGGAAACCCCGGCCATTGTGCATAGCCGATTTCCCGCTATCCGCCATTTTAATGTCCTTCCATCGCTCGGTTTCTTTATCAATGTGTGGGTAGTTTGTTGTTTAAAATGTAAGTTCAAGCGAATTGCGTATACTTTATTTACTGGCAATACCTTAACCAAATTGTTTTATTGTTTGTAGTAAGCTTTCAACTATATACTTTTATACATTATAAACTGCCACCTGGAGGTCGAAAATGGACAATAATAATTTTATTGCTGACAATTAAACTCCGTCTAGAGTAAATAAAATAAATTAAAACTATATTTTGTTGAAAATACTAAAGCTCATCAATATCTCTTAACTATGCAAAGCATTCAAAAGATCGAGAAACGGAGAATCACGTCAAAATTTTAACCCGCTACTAAGCTGTATCTTAAAGCAGTTCACAGTGACATACTCTTTGAATGTGTCCTTCAGCTTATCACTTGTGCCACACCCATTTTTTCCGTGTGTTTAACATTATTTGTATCAACACATGCAATGCGCGTGTGTTGGATGCTTTTATTACTGTTAGAAGTATTTTTCCTATTGTTGTCATGTCTAAAGGGTAACATCAAGTGTCATATTCAAAGTACAGCCTTGATGCTCTTTTTGAGTGGCTTTTAGTCACCCAAGTGGAGTTCTTTAGCTCTATATGGGTGTTATATTGCCGTTTTTAAGGAGGCTAGTAGTTGTATAATAATAATATTTTATCGTTAGTGAGCCATATCTCGGCACATGGGTTGACGCGACTGATGTTCATCAATTCTTTCGTTGAACGAGTGCGGTTACAAGAGACGCAATCCCCCCCCCCCTGATTCGGGGGGGGGGGGGTGACAAGGGTGACAACGCACTTGTGTCTCTTGAGTTGCAGGTGTCAATGAGGGTGATCACTTACCATCACGTAATTATTATTTTTTTAGTTTATTGAGGTAAACAAACAATATCACAATAATAAATGGTTATAATAGTGTTTTGAGCTATCTATTATTGCTAATTGTGTGTGAGTATTTCAGACATATGTACCTAAATTTCTCAATATTATGCATTATAAACATATTAGTTCACAGTGTCACGTAGTTCCCTCATTACTAGGTTTCTGAAAACGCTCACACTATTTACAAAAATATCGATGTGACTAAAGTTGCAGTTGTAAGAATTTAGTATACAAGTACTTGTCTGCTCGTTTGTCCCCTTTTCATCATTCTCCACCATCCTCCTTCCAGAAAAGAGCGTACTCCTACTTTGACACTCCACTCACACTTGTAATTAGTTGCCAGGGTCCATTGGCAGCAGCAGCCATTTACCATCAAGTGAGTAGTATTCACATTTGACCCCTATCATAGAAGTAATATCTAGACTGGATGTTATTATTCCGACTTTGGATATACATACGACAGCCATAACCTATAAAGAATTTAATAAGGTGGGTGAAATTCAGACCTATGTTTTTTTTCGGTCATGTGACACACAGCGCCATCTAGTTTCAAACTAAGCAGAGCTTGTACTTTGAAAGCTAGATTGACGGATAGAATACTTATATACTTTTTTTTGTAACATATTGAAATTGAAAACATCCAAACTCCGAAGCAAATATTTGCAGATCATACAAACATTTGGTCTAACCGGGTAATCGAACCCGAGACCGCAGCACAGAAGTCACATACGCGACCACTGCACCACCAAGGCAGTCAAATTATTTATTTAGAGTATTTACTTGACGTAATGAGTATTCCAAAGTCATTGACAAGAAGAAAGTCAGAACCAACGCGGCCTGTCCCCAATTGGTGCCCGTTTAGCGACATTAAAGAACATTTATCGACCAGCGGGGGACACGCGATCATTTCTGGATTATGCCCATCATAGACGAATTAATTAAGAGCACGGCCAATACATCCAGATCCCTGTCATTGTAATGGCTCACTCTAATTTCGTTTTGGCAGTTTAGATTGTAGAGGGACAGGGAAGGCCAATCTGAAGTGGTTTATTTTGGACTGAACGTTCAGCCAATATATTTAGAGCTATGTTGTTTTGAAACTTTCCTTTAATTTCGTCGTTAGCGTTTTGATCTGCGAGGGGCGAAGGAGGTCTTGTTATAGTGTTTAGTCATAACTGGACGTTCTTTGAGGGATTAGGGATGTTTGTGAGGGATTGAGATGTTCTTTCGTAATTAGTGGTGCAAGTGGTTTCCTTGATAAGTGCCACTTTGGTGCAGTGTGGCCATCCTACTGAAGTACCTACGGATTGTAAGAGGATTATTTCTCAAAGTAAGATTTCTGAGGAGGTAGAAAACTATTACAAGCCACTAATGTATCCTTATTGATATTACTGTGCCAGTATTTAAGGAATTATTCACGAATGCATCTCTCTACAGTTGTAGTTATTAGAGTTATCAATTTGATGTTACTCCGTTCTGGGTTTGATTCTCGCAATTCATATTTATATTTGCTTGCTCTTATTATATTTGCTTAAAAAGCTTTTTCTAAAATCTCGCTACAGAAGTCATCAATATAAGGGATATTGTCAAACGTAAAAAGCCAGTATTTTTAAAATCATAATTTTAAATAAAATATGATAATCAACAATTTTTTTGGGAATGTTCTCCGATCCAAAAAGTCTGGCCTTATTTTCTACCGTTAAAAGTTGATATTAAAAAGGAGGGGCTGCTTACAATAGAATACAGGTACGAATATCATTCACAGAGTGACGGGAAATGGTAAAATCAAAATTCTCATCCGCCTTTCAAAGTAACAGATAGCTGTGACGAGCGGAGGGGAGTACAATGACCGAATACGTTGTAACCAAACGTGAACATATCGTCACTTCTATTCTTTTTACACGACAAGGAATAAGTTGTACTCTTTTTAAAAGGAGCAGTAGATTTTCCTCAAAATAAGTGTGGCTATAAAAGTAAGCTTAGATCATTGAGAGTAAATACGTGATTTTGAAGGAAAGAATTGAATCAAGTCTATTTGTAAAGCCTTGTTTGGACTGTGTAAGTGTTTACAATCAAAGCCTACATTGTATAAACTGAATATATAATAATAATACCCTCACACACGGCTGTCTGATCCCAAACTAGGCAGAGCCTGTACTATGATAACCAGACTGCTGATAAACATACTTATATATTTCTAAATACATACATATTATAGATAAATTACACCCAGAAACAGAACAACTTATCGCTGCATCGTACAAATATTTGTCTTGGGTGGGAATCGAACCCACGACCTCCGGCTTAGCAGTCAGAGTCACTAACCACTAGACCAACAGGCCCGTAAATATATGTCACTAATCTGAGTTTCATTAACTGTCTTACTTTATTTATCTGTGTATCTATACTACACTATTACCTTCTGTAAAAAAACAAACACAGAATGCATGAAAATCAAACCTTCACCAGAGGCTAATGACATTGGAGAAAAGCCTGACCAGATGTACTTTTCGATTGAAACAGTCCCAATGGGATGAGATAAGTAGTATAGTTTGTTTTTGCAATTTAATTTTAAAACACTAAAAGAATGATATTGACTTTGTATCTTGCGTAACAACTTTGCTCAATTAATTTACGAAAAAAAAAGCTAAACATTTGTTTAATTAAACAAAAAAAAAACATTTATAGGGTTTCATTGTTTTCACACACCGTTTGTTTGCTAAAACATTATACATAGTAAGAAAACAATAATATCACGGTCGAAATCCGATCGGATGCAAAACATTGGGAGCGTCCATTGTGTGTCCATCTTCAGCCCTAACTTTATATTGAAAAATGGGGGAGAACACAATGCCAGCGAGCGTAATGAAATATTTTGAATATTTGTATTTGATTCCTCTTTAAAAAGTCTATATCATATCACCATTTACAAAAGACCCCTCCATTAAAGCTACATCATTCTTACATTGACAGCATCGGTGGATCATTTTACATTGGACAGGGAAAATTCCAGGCCTTTCACGAATTTTTAATTCCACAGTTTAGTGAATATATTCTGAGGAATTTGCGCCATGAAGATATGGTTTTATTTGTCTTTTATGGGATGAGTTACGAGTCTTTATAGTCTGGACATACGTAATAAAATGGCCGAGCTGTCTGGCAGGTGAATGCAAGTTTCCTTATTGCAGAAGTTCATTGAACCGTTGTTGTAGTTTGGTAAGAATGCTTTGAAAACTTATTGAATTGATTGTCTGGAAAGGGAGGGAAAATGTGCTAGGAGACAGAATCGGAAATTAAAATCTAGTATTGTGAAACCTTTGAAGCTGCTCTGATATAAGCATCTACTACTAAACTTACTTTCTTTTCCTAAATAGCACCCCACTTTAGCTTACCTCAAGAGCTGATGATAACGACGCCTTCTCCTGCTTCAGAGTTTCCACGCGGCTCTTGTATTGCAGCAACGATCGCACTGTCTCCTCCATCCTGAAACAACAGATACAACTTTCAGCATAAAATATTTATTTTTGTCTAACACCAAGAACCAAAACCATCGTGTACTGGACAATATTTGACATTTATGCTAGATTAACGGACCTCGGATGATATTTAGCTACATAAATCAATCCATCACCCTCTCCCAATATGCGCCATAGTACCGGTCCCAATCTCAATCCAAGCATCAATGTGGAGGTGGAAAATTAAAGGTAGGATGCCGTCCAGCCTTATGGTCATAACGTTCTATAACGCGATCATACATTTCAAAATGGAGAGCATTAACAGAATTTAAAAATCTACCTTCAGTCATATAATGTTAATTATACAGTAACGACACCGTAAGTTTGATAACTCAAACCACAAGTAACGTAAAGTTTAATTGTCATTAAAACAACTTAGAATCGACACTTTATTTCCCAAGCTCATAACACAAGTAACTTCAAAAACTATCTACTACCAAGTTATCGATAACCGTTATTACAACGTAAAGTCGTCTACCAAGTCACTAACTTGTGCGTGTCCCGAATAACTAAGAGTTTAGTGTTAGTTAGACTCACTTCGGCGTCTTTACTACGTTTAGTGTTAGTTGAACTAAGTTACTTGTACCCTCATTATAGCCGCTTTCTTCACCTTTGTGTATAAGGATTCTTTTTTGTTTTTAATTGTGACTTATTTTCAGCTTGTTATTTTTCTGTTATAGATATTAAAAGTATTTTTAGTAGACAGATTTAATATACGTATTTATTATTATGTTTGAAATTTTAAGAGTTCTTAGACTTTCTACATACAAATATGCGGCAGTATCGAATAGTTAAAACCAAATTGTGTTAATACATTAACTTATTACTAAATGAGTAACCCCAGAGGGTTAAGCGACAATTGTTTCGTTTATAAGCCATTAGAAAATGCAACGAAATGGTACCACAATTAACTAAAAGCCATTCTGTCACAACATTTCTTCTCAAAGAAGACAAACGATCTTACAAAACACTTCATTATGCAGACGGATCATACTGGTGGGTACATTTGCATATTCACTGTGAGGTAGACAAGCACATTAACGTGGTGTTGGAAGGAGACAAAGCTATTGCACTTGATGCCACTTCATTAGCAGAGACGTCCGTTCTCGGGAATACGTCACTGTCTAATGACGAAATTGAAGAAATATGAATTTTGTTTTGTTTTTTATACTGCAACAGATTTATTTTGTAACGTCATACTTTACGAAAGTAAACTTTAATGTTAATGAAAAAGCGTATAAAAAGTGTTAATTGTTTTCCGTCTTTATTGTCTAAACAGAGTAATAACTGAAGCAAGTCGTAAGTAGTATTAAGCCTGTTGAGGGAAGTCATGTAATGATAATAACGTTTACAAGCCGTCTCCAAGTTGTGAAGATCAACTATATTCCGTTTAATATTTTACTTAAAGTTTAAGATTCCAGAATGACACAAAAAGTACACCACATATTCGACGACATGACATTAATTCATACAACTAATCTTTTGATTTTACAGCTTTTTTAAGTTATTCCCATAATATCAATACAGGACGTAAGATAACCTTAATGATAGAAATTATAATGAATTCTCTACAGAACTGACCGTCTCGAGCTCAATTTCTAAACGCGGATATTAAGTGTAACCCTATAATCTTCATGTTTCCTTAATACCATAATCCTAACCCTCCAAAGAGTATTAATAATTAAGAGGGTTGAAATCATTTTAAGCATTTTCTTTCAAGAATTATCTCTAAGACTGAAGGACTGTAGCAAGGCTTTGTAATGTAAAACGGTAATACTGTCTCAGAATGGAGTATTAAAATTGTAGCTCCTTGATTAATTTCTTAGATTTAAAACATTGGCATTGTGGCTCCGATGAGCGGATTCATGATTTATTATGTTAACTTTAAACGGTATTTGGGAAAAATCCTCTATTTTGGGTTGTTTGTGAAATGAACTGTATTTGTAAACTTCTCAAACGAAAATGCTTAGAGTCAGAAATAGGTTTACGGGTGGTAATGTAATTAGGTAGGATTCGGATGCGTTTTATTTTTGTCATCAATTCTGAGACTTAACGGACTAAAGTTTTCTACAATACCAGACTTTTGTTTTCTTTTTGAAATCCTTATTTAACATGTATAATACTGTAATTATATAATAGTCTACTTAAAAATGAAATTCTCATTGTAGAATCAAAATACCATTAAAAATAAAATGGAAGGATTTCCATTCAAATAGTTAATCATGAAACTTTTTCAATAGTACTGAATAGAATGAATTCTACACAGCCTTTGTGCGCTGAGACTGGCTTTTAGAAGGAAGAAAAGATACCTAACTTAGATCATTGTGATTGTCCTAGAATGTTCAATTTCTCATTTGGTTTTTAAATTTAAAAAATATATCTTATATCTGACAATGTATTTACAATCATTACTTTAAAATTATCATTCATTATGAATTTTGTAAAATAAAGCAAATTGTTTCATTATGTATAAGAACAAGACGGCTTTTTTTTCGTCCTGTACGACATTAAAATTCCAAAAAAATGCACGTGAAATGTAAATAAACGTAATCACCAAAGGCACTTTCAGCTAGATAAATTAATCATCCGAAATTAATTTCGAGGAAAGCAATTGAACCTTTTTCGCGTATTTCCCACGTGGTATATTCTAAGCTGGCAACATTCGGGGGTCGATCAACTTAGTCGGAGGCTTATTACAGTGTAATTTAATGTTTTGTTTTTTTCGTCGGTGTTTTTTTACACGGGCAATGTTTTACTGCGGCCAGTCACGGCAGTATCGACCGAGGTGTGTTCTATTTTTGATTTAATGCTCATATGCTTTTGTTGTTGAAAATAAATTAAATTCTGAATTGTAAAGGAATTTGTGAAAAACAATTTTGTCTATGGATTTTGTAAATGCTTTTGAATATTGAATGTATACTACTGATGTATAAATATTTGATAAGGTTTTCCTTGGTAAAGTGTAATTGTATACACATAACAGTTAGCAAATCCTTTAGGTACGCTTACAAGAAGCTTGGTACAATGTTTCACAGATAAAAATGAGTACAAGAGTATGGGTAAGGGTCTGATGTAAATATTTTAGCAAAATTTTACACATAGAAACCGACATCTCTTTTAAGCTAAAGAATCTAAGCTTATATAAACAATTAAAATCTTTTCGTTTTAAATACACAATACAGCTTTATACAATTTCTGTCTGGTGTTGCATATTAAAAAAAACTATTTCGCCCAGTAACCCTTGGTATTTTTTTTGACCAGACCCATCAAAAGCACGTTAAACAATTACGAGCTCTTTTTTTTTAAAAAAAAAAACGGTATCTATATGGCATCCAGCCGCCGTGGCCAGTTCGACGCCCGACCGGCTGGTCCCTCCCCTATCGCGACAAATTACGTCGCGCTCAACCCTTGACCAGATGAGTGCTCGTAAATCTTATCTATTAAACCTGTGGTCCGTAGGTACGGATTTCATGGTGTGGTGCAAGTTATAAACGTTAACTCCAATTCATAACTCCATATGCATTTATGGATCCCTAATATTGGTGCCAAATCATCAACATCCAGTAGACCCTTTTTATATGTGAACCTATTTAACTTTAAAACATTACAATGAAAAGTGGTGCTGTGAAGCCTTCATCATACGGCCGTCGCCGTCTTGCTGAAGTTTTTAAAATATACCTTATGAGAGTTATTAATATTACTATTATAATTAAAATATTAATACGTTACTAGTTACGTATTAAACTGCGCTTTCTGGGTCGACACTTCACGTAAATCCTTTTTCCCTGGTATATTTTGTTTTCACACATTTTATTATATGAAAGTGTGAACAATAAATTATATTACAAGATTTAAAATAATATAAAAATACATTTAAATGAAGTAATCCTAGGTTTCTTTAAAGAGTTCGAAACTATAGCTTTAGAACAAAATTTAAAAAGGTACAAAAATCTGTTGAATTGAAATGACATTTCCCGCTCACAATTGCACCACTCACCAACATCTATGTATTTATCTAAGTACAGGATTACTCTCGCCGCGTGGCTCATATTGTCGCTGGTCGCTCAGTATGGCGCCTAATGTCTGAATAATAACTCATTGGATATCAGTTAGTGCTGCCGGTGCTGCTAGCAAATTCAAATTAGCTGTCTGGTGACAATAAAAACTTGAGTTTTAAATTAGGAACAAAACATTTCCCTTACTTTTTTATTTAATGTTCCTCGTTTGTTTTTATGAAAGATTATTTTATGTTGCTAATTACAAAGACATGACAAAAGTGTCACTAGTAGTCTTGACGTCATATTGTGTTTAATTATTATTTCTTCCATTCTCAATGTGTTTTGGGTTGAGTATTGTGCTGTAGGCTATTTATTTAGATTGTGAGATTAAACTGTTATTAAAATTTGTGAAGGTAAAGTACAATATTAAAGTACTTAGGACGCTTATTTTACCAAGTTACCAAAAAGGTTTGCGTTAAATACTTATGAACTCACAGCTTCCTTCTGCGATGCATTTGCCACATGAAAAATATAAACCCATATAAAAGCAACGTAACGTTCTAAAGATCCGACATTTTTCACCTAAATTCACTTTGATAAACATCCATCTCCCGCATTATTTACACTCTGTTACACACCTGTAGCTGTAGGTGGTAAGTAGCAGTGAGGAAGAGTAAAGAGGAGTGAGGTACGGTAATTCTCTGAATATTCGCAAGTTAGCGCGAACGATCGCTGTACATTTTTAATAAGAGACGGTAGATTGAGACGCACCTGTGTAGGGATAGTGACGTATATAGCGCCATCTAGCGGTGTGTTTTAGCAACATATTTGGTGTAACACAAGGTATTTTGTTTCACAAGAATATAAAGTTGCCGGAACTACACTGAAAAATGGCCGTATTGTAATAATAATACGTGAATGTGAAATACCAAAGTCTAGATTTGTTGGTGAATGTTTAATACAAAATTTAAGGGAAAATGATGCAAAAAGCAAAGGTCTGTAAAATCACAAGTTTGTTTCTTTAACCTTTTAGTTATAAATACTTGTAATAACAAGGTAATGCTATTTGTAGACTATTTCTGATTTTTGAAATTATTGAGTCGAAAAGGGGGTACTTAAGATTTATTTTCTTACATTAATATGTGACAATTGAGAAATTAGCTGCTAGCTTGATAATAAATAACCTGAAAATCACTTGGTATTCAAATATGGTAACACTTTATTGACTCCAAATATCGTTGACCAGTAAAGCAGGATTCACGTTCATATTTTAAAATTTCGATACTAATATTATAAATGCGAAAGTGTATCTGTCTGTCTGTTTCACTTAAACCGCTGAACCGATTTAAATGAAATTTGGTATGGAGATTGTTTGATTGTTGAGGAAGGGCATAGGCTACTATTTACCGCGATAACTCACATACACGCGGGCGGAGCCCCGGAAAAAAGCTAGTAATAAAGATAATAAAGTTGTTCAAATGATTAAATAGTAAGATCAAGGACTGTTTAAATCATGTACAATCCTTAGAAGCGGAGCTGTTACCATAAACCACCAAGCAGCGAATTAGGGCCACTATTAAATGTATATAATATTTAGGCCACAGCCATATAAATACAGTAATATATAAATAAAAGATAATTGGACTGCCACTGAATTCAGACATGCGCTTGTTGATTACATTGTTACAGCCCCTGAACACGCTAGGTGTTATCATTTCACAAATGTTTGATGGTAAAATAAGTAGGGGCTTGTCAATTTTACATATTTTTATAATAAAGAGTTTTTTATTTACTCTTAGTTAGGATTAAATATATTAATTATAGTTGGCTTGATTTTACATTTGTACAGTTTCACCACTTGCTCATTAGTTGCAAGTTATACCTGTAAATAAACTTTGGTACCTGAAGACGGCGACCGGGTTTTTGGTCGGTGCGAGTCCAATATAATCATTCACTGGTATCCGAGGGGAGTTCCGCACAGGAGAACAGAAAAGCCCTGTCATACTGAGAAGGGACCAACCTTTTAGAATATTATGGAGATCTATCAGAGTACGAGTATATGTACTTTTTAAGCAGATTTTGAGGACGGAGTAAATTAAGAAAGGTAAATACAACATTTAAAAAATAATAGGTACCAAAAACGATAGGATTC